CCAGGCTGGAAGTCTGCTAAACACTCACTCTACCCTCTGTCATACACCTGCTTTTGTTCAGGGAAGAAGCATCTGCCCTTAGGGGGTTATTGGTCCTTACAGCAGGAGTCACAGCTCTGCCCTCTGTTCTCCTGAGGTTGCTCCAACCCCAGACTGACGTGTCTCTAAGCTTTATTGAATGTACGTGCTATTGCATAGACAAAAAAGAATTCTTTGCACAAATATGCATGTATTCGTGTATGAAGGAAGAAGGAGCAGTGAGGTAGGCTCATTTTTAAGTGTTAAAAATGTCCGCTTTCTATAATATGTGAATGATTTAAATCAAGAGCAATGATAGGCACATTGCTCACACATGACATTCTTTTGGCTGACTAAACTATGTTACTGCATATTTACAAATTAGTTTACCTTTTAGCATCAGATCTGGATAATAAAATGGTGATGGTTAATAAACCCTCCCAGTGAAGTGTGAGGTTGCATTAGTTGGAGCTCCTCATTTATAAATACATCTTAAAATAGTTCAGTGACAAAAAGCAGAGGCAAATATTTCCATCTATGTACTTGGCATTTTAACATCCATGTGGAGCTATAGTTGCTATTCTAATAGATATAAGTAGATTCTTGTGATCCTGGAAAGTTCTGTGTGAGGTGCACAGCATTGTGAACATGCTTCCTTGGCTGTCACTTTATTATAAATAAACCTCGACTTTGAGTTTCTTCTGAATAACTAGGAAATAAGGGGCTGGTTTTTAAGAGGCAATAGTCTTATCCATGAATATTGGATTTTCTAAGAGGAAGCTTTCTATACATTGGTAACACATATGCTTTATCAGAAATAGTAAAAGAACCAGAGAAATGATGCTGAGCTTTAGTTTCTGAGAATATCACAATACATGTCACACTTGAAGACCATGCCATTGAAGGTTAATTCTCGACCAATAAGCGCACCTGTTACAGACTTCCACTCTCTGGAATAGTAAGGTATACAGCCCTGCCAGAGCCAACCTTTTGCTAAGTAATATTAATCATTTAAAATATCTGTTGAATATTTACTACATGCCTAGCAAGGCTAAGCCATTATCAGATATTAAACATAAACGTTACAAATTTTAAAAAGGCATAGCCCCTAGTCTTAAAAAACTTGTTGAGAAAGACAATAAACATATACTAAGTATTCAACTCTTCAAAAATTACAGGTATAAATGGAACTTGATACGTTTTCTGGTGGATTAGAATAATATTTTAAGATCATATAGATAATACAGTACTGATATGATTTTTTAAAGTATTTTGTGAAGATTTTTTTATTTTAACTTTTTAAAAAAAATTTCAGACTATTATGGGGGTACAAATGTTTTGGGTACATGTAACGCCTTTGCGTCACCCAAGCCAGGGCTACAATTGAGCCCTTGCCCATACAATGCTCACAGTATCCATTAGTTGTGAGTTTACCCCCCACCCCACCCCCACCTGACTGTCACCCAGTGAATATTACTACCATGTGTGCACCTTAGTGTTGATTAGTTAGTACCAATTGATGGCGGGTACATGTAGCGTTTATTGTCAAGTTCACAATCAACAAACTAATAAACCATCTCAAGGAACTGGAAAAGGAAGAGCAAATCAATCTTAAACCCAGCAGAAGAAAAGAAATAAATCAGAGCAGAACTAAATGAAACCAAGAACAAAAGAACCATACAGAAGATTGATAAAACCAAAAGTTGGTTTTTCAAACAGATAAAATTGACAGCCCTCTTGCTAGATTGACAAAAATAGGAAGGAAAGGACTCTAATAAGCTCAATTCGAAATGAAAAAGGAGAGGTCACTACAGACATCATGGAAATACAAAACATTATCTTTGAATACTGTAAAAATCTATATGCCCCCAAACTACAAAACCTGGAGGTAATGGACAAATTCTTAGATAATATAGTATTGATATGATTTGAATGACAGTGAAGAATGGGTATTCGGGACAGGTAGAGGGGGGGAAAGGTGTATGGGCTCTGAGCTATATATGTCAGGTGTGTGTTGAGAGTAGTAGGACGTGAGTGTTCATGCACAGAGTCTTTGAAGAGAATACGAAAATAGCTTGATTTTAGTAGGCAGAAGGCACCATTTTTAGTTCATAATAGGAGATAAGTGAGAATCTTTAATGCACCATTGCTTGTATGCATTTATGAGAGAAATATTCAGAGAAACACTGGCAGTAAAACTCAGAACCCAATATAATATTATATTTTTGGTGTCTGCAAGAAAAAAATGTATTTTCGTTCAAGGTACGTAAGATGTTATACATCTGCTTCTTAGCCATTACAAAATTTACTTCCTTGTTTTTATTTTTGTTTTGTCATTTGCACAGTGACTCGGTAAGTATTAGCAAAATTTAGGAAGAAAAGATATGGAAAAGTACCTAGAATAATACAAAAGTCAAACAAACAAAAAAGAGGATAACTCCCAATTAACTAGCGTATTTGCAAAATTATTTAATGTAAAAGAGTGCGTTAGGAATGTAATTATTGACATTTCTGGATTACCTATTGTATTCTCAGTAAAACCACTAATATTTAGTATTTCATAGCTGATACTGGCATATTGATGGTTTCACATCTACTAAGGAGTAGAAACAAATAAAATCTAATTCATAGTATTTGGAATTTAAATCTCATTACTGTTACCAACATACTATTGTACTTCACTCAATTACAGAATGCAAGTTTAATTTTATTTCTATGTTTACTTTTTCAACCTAACCTATCCCATTAAATAATAATTATAATAATTTTTTCAACTCACCATGGAAGGTCAATAAATATTTATGCTCTTTTAAAGATAAACTTTACTTGGTGGATGACTGTACTTTCAAAGCCACTGTAATTAAGTGTTTTTTACATTTTTACAAAAGCCTTTTTCAGTCATTCTAATATACTTGCCAAAACCTCCTTTATATTCTGTGTACAGAATTTGACAACATTCATTATCTGCTTAACAAACCACATCTGTTCTGTGAGGCCATTATGGTTGACTACAGATATTCAAATTTACTTCTTTACTAAAATGCAAGTTTTTACAATAATGTATCAGATTGTTAAATTTTACATTATGAATGGTTTATACTCAACACTGCTTAACAAATCATTAGCACAATAAAGTGTTAACTGTGATACTTTTTTCAAAATGAATATCACATATTTTCTACTTTTAATTTTGTTTTTCAAAACAACCATTACATGGTTTTTACTATGTAACCAGGAACCTAAAGTCAGAATGAGCCAAGAGAAGAAACTGATTTGGGGGAGGCTGTGGAAGGCATGAAGAGCCAGGAGGAATCACTTTACTTGAGTTAGCTGTATCTTTTTACCTTACTTTTGATTTTCAGAATTTTCATGTTTTTAAAGGATTTTTCCAGCACTATTAACATATATTAAGTTATTTTGTGCACAATATTTTCCTGAAAATTTTGATTAGGATAGCAAATACAATAAAGAAGCTAACTTTCTAAAATGTATGTAACATATAGTTTTGAAAGTGAAGAAAACATTATAACATGACTGCAGTGTCTAGATAATATTGCTCATTAATAAATCTTTACTGATTGATTAATCACTATAAATTACATATATTGAATGTAATATGTTTTTCTAGAATGCCTATCATTAAAAGTATTACAGAACTATTATTGAGAGAATAACATTAACATTGTATTTGTTGAGATATGTGCAACGAATACAAGCAAAAACAAGTTAGCGTTAAAGCACTTTCTGTAAACTATAATTCACAAGCAACATTAATATAAAGACTGATTACTCTGACTATTCTATTACTCTAAAAATGAAAGAAATGTGTTTTCCTAATATTGAAATCATATCTTACATTTTACATTTACTATATTAAACTTCTCACATTTTAACATAATTTTGTAGCCAGATTTCACACTGTCTTGGAGTTCTTATTTTGCCTTCCCATTCACTAAATGTCCACTGTAATCTGGAGATCATAGTCACTGGATATCAAGTCACTAGAATGTGTGAAACACATGCATAGTAGACCAATGTCATCAAAATGTATACAATGTGGATGTATAAAATGTGGATGGGCATGATCTCTTTATATTTTTATGTTACTCAGGATTAATTTTTTTCTGGTTCTAAATTTTAATGACAGACTATGTTTTTTCTTATGCTTAAGTGTTCCAGGGTTTGCTTTAATATATTTCTTCGGCCGGGCGCTGTGGCTCACGCCTGTAATCCTAGCTCTTGGGAGGCCGAGGCGGGCGGATTGCTCAAGGTCAGGAGTTCAAAACCAGCCTGAGCAAGAGCGAGACCCCGTCTCTACTATAAAATAGAAAGAAATTAATTGGCCAACTGATATATATTTAAAAAATTAGCCGGGCATGGTGGCGCATGCCTGTAGTCCCAGCTACTCGGGAGGCTGAGGCAGAAGGATCACTCAAGCCCAGGAGTTTGAGGTTGCTGTGAGCTAGGCTGACGCCACGGCACTCACTCTAGCCTGGACAACAAAGTGAGACTCTGTCTCAAAAAAAAAAAAAAAATATTTCTTCATTAGTACTTTTTAAGTATATATTTTTAAAAAATATTTTAATATTTCAGTTGTGTCTTTGCAAAGTAAAACTAAATTATACATACAGAATTTCAATGTAAAACATAATTTATCCACATGGTAGACATTTAAAGTTTGCTAAATGAATGTACCAACTAAAAAAAAAGTGAATAATGCACTTCATTTTAATGATGGAAAACACACCATGCTGTTTTTATAAGCTGAGCCTCTCTAGAAAAATGCCAGCTCCGTTATTAACACACAAAAAAATAATTACCACTGCAGCAACATTTCTGAAAATCGCATGGCAGATCATTTATCTCACTTTGATGGCAAATTATCATTCTAATCTTTTTGTTTTTAGATTTGTAGGGTGAGTGATTTACTACTGAGCATCAGTTATAACTCTCTTCCTTTGTCTTGTTCTTCTTGTTTTTAGCTCCTTGTGAAGGCAATACATTCTTCTGCCACAGTAACATGTGTATTAATAATACACTGGTCTGCAATGGACTCCAGAACTGTGTGTATCCTTGGGACGAAAATCATTGCAAAGGTAATGATTAGTCCTTACTAATTTAAGACATCCCCTCCCTGTGGAGTAAGAGGGAAGTTTACATGCATGGACCTCTTAAAAATAGAGTATAGAGTGGCTTTCGTGAGCTCCGTGTATGTCTTATAGTCGATTTGTAAGTATTCTGTATCCAGATGTTTCCTCATTCACTGATGCACACTGGGCTGTCCTTGACACTTGAATACTCGTTAAAGACATCTCCTTATTAGAGCCTGCAGAACCATGGGGTGGCGGGGGGGGGGGGAACAATAGAGCTTTCAGTGGAGCACATTGTTTTCCTGTCATACCTGGTACCCCTTCATCTGTGGCAACACCACTCCATTCCACTTTGTCTTCACTGGGCTTTGTACACATCCTCTAGAGATAAAATATCTTGCAGGAGTATTTGTTGTTTCAAGTGCTTCCAGCCACTTCACTTTACTTCAGTTTTGCTATGGAAATGCTTTCCTTCCTTTCCAATGAGAACAGCTTGCAATGCTCCTGCCTCCTTCTCTAGCCTACGCACAAAGGCTTGTTCATGCAGAAAGGGATCCTTGGCTGCATTCTGAACGTTGCATATTTTAGTTAAGTTAAAAGTGCCATATAAGTTCTTTTATTATATCCAATATTAAATAATTTGCAAAGGATGATGAACAGACAAATAACTCTTTCATGCTTGAAGTTCAGTATTACCTATTAAAATGCCTTCTGTGGATAAAAGCAGAGAAACATTGCCACAGCGTCCATTAGTTTATTACAGTCAGAAATATTCTACAGTATCAATTACTTTGATGGTGGGGTGTTGGTAATGATTATTTTTGTGTCCACTTCTGAATGGATAGGAAATTAAATACTTTCCGAATTATCTTAACACAGCCCTGTTAATGATGAGTAGTCACCATTGGCTTTGTTTGCCCAATGTAAATTTGTCCTCATGTATGTAAGAATATTTGACATGAGGCAGCAATCAAGAAGATGTGAATATTGCATTATGAAAGTCCACATTTATTTTCTTCATAAGGCAAAACTATTCTTTTGGTTTGTAATCCATTCTCTTGCATTAGTAGAAAATATTTTTCATTACTTCAATCATTTATAATTTATTGAGGTTAGTTTTATGGAAAGCATGTGGTGTAGCCTAAAAATTGTCCCATGTTCCCTTGAAAATAATATGATTTGCTACTGTTGGGTAGATTGTTCTATGGATGCTTATTCCATCTAGTAGGCTTATAGCATCGTTCAAGTCTTCTCTTTTCATTATGATCTTCTGCCCTGTTTTATCCATTACTGAAAGTGGGTATTAAATTCTCCAACTATTATGGTTGAATTGTCTGTTTCCCTCTTCAGTCTTGGAAAGCTTCTGTTTCATGTATTTGTAAGTTTGGTTGCTATGTCCATGTATGTTTATAGTTGTTGTATAGATTGACCTTTTTATTACTATGAAATGATCCAATATCTAGTAATGTATTTTTTATCTTAAGATATATTTTGTCTGACATTAGTATAACCACCTTCCTTATGATTTGGTGTCCATGCTTTTTCCCCATCCTTTAACTCCCACTCTATCTCTATCTTAGATACAGAGTAGACAGTGTATAGTTGCATCTTACTCTGCTATCCAGTCTGACTCAATACTGTGATTTATATGATTGGATTTATGTTTACCATTATATTTTTGGTTTCTATATATCACATGTATTTTTTCCTCTGTTCTTCCTTATTGTTCTATTCTGCATTGAGTAAATACATTCTAATGTGACATTTAAATATTTTTAGTGGTTTTTGGATGTATGTATTTTTCACTTACTTCATTAGTAGTTGCTTTAGGGTTCTTATAGTATACAGCGTAACTTCTCAAAATATATTTTAGGTTTATCCTAACTTAATTCTAGAGATATATAAAAGCATCATTCATATATAGCTCTATTCTTTCTTTTTTTTTCTATTGTTTTTGTACATATTACATCTATATATTACAAACCCAACAATAAATTACAATAATTATTACTGTATATAATCTTATGCCTTTTAAAAATTGAGAGAAGAAAGAATAGCAAGTATATATTAGCATGATTTGTGATACAGTCCTTCTTATTTACAATTTCTTGTTTTCTTTGTTTTTGTAGCTTTTCATTGCCCTCTGGTGTTATTTCCTTACTCTAATAACTGTTTTTCTCTCACCTACATCATTTGTTCTGTTTTCACCAAATATACTGCATTTCAATAAGTTATAGGCTCAAAAATACAATTATATAATATTACTTTGTTTTTTTAAAACTTAAGTGAAGAATACAGAAGAAATATGCAACTATACTGTTCTTCATAATTATAGACATAATTGCCTTTATTGACTAAATTTATTTGCTTATTTAATTCATTATCTGTTTAACTTTTCACATAGATTTGAGTCATGGTCTGAGGTCACTTGTTTTCAACTCAAAATTTTTCTTCAATATTTCTTTTAAGGCAGCTCTTGAACCATTGAATTCTCTTTAGTTTTGTCTCTCTGGCAATTATTCCATGTTGAAAGTAGTTTTGCTGGATATTAGGTTTTTGTTTGACAGGTTTTTATGTTGGATTTTTGTTTTGGTTTGGTCCCCATGTGGCCCTCTGATCTCCGCTGAGAAAATCAGCTGTTAATTTGACTGGGGCTCCTTTCTACGAAAGAGTTGTTTTTATCTCCTTCTATTTCAAGATTTTCTATTTTTCTTTTTCCCTAACATTTATAATATTATATATCTGGGTGTGGATCTCTTTGGATTTGTCCTACTTGGAGTTTGTTGAACTTGGATTAGAGTTTTCTCATTAAGTTTAGGATGTTTTTTATTTTTTAAAAATGTTTTTCCTGTTATTTTCTAACTCTCCTGTCTTTCTTGTACTGCCATTACATTATATTGGTGTTCTTGATGGTTTCCCCACTTTTCTGAGGTTCCATTAATTCTTCTGCATTCATTCTTCTCCTCTTCAGATTGCACTAGTTTTGTACCTCTCTCTTCAAGTCTGCTGATAGTTTCTGCTTCCAGCTGCCCTGTACCCACTGTTGAGGCACTCTACGAAATTTTAATTTTAGTGATTGCACTGTTGAACTCTAAGCTTTCTATTTTTTATAATTTCTATTTATTGATTGATATTTTCTATTGAATGAGGTATTGCCCTCATCCTCTTTAACTTCTTTATTCATTACTTGCTTTATTTCCTTAAGCATATTGATTACAGCTACTTTGAAATTTGTGCCTGCTAAGTCAGAAATCTTGCTCTATCAGAGGTGTTTTCTTTGCTTGCCTTTTTATCTTCTATAAATGAATTGCACTTTCCTCTTCCATGTTACTTTACATGCCTTACAAAATTTTGTTGCAAACTGCACATTAGATAATACGTTATAGCAACTCTGGATACAAATTCCCTCCTGTTGTGGTTTTCTTGCTTGTGTGTGAATGTAGACCTGGTTGGACTACTTCAGTGAAGCCTCTGCCATTGCACCACAAAGGCACAGCCTCGGGCATCCCCACAATCACCCTTGGACAGATGTGGTGTTAGCAAGGCTCTCTTTGTCTCTTTCCCTGTTCTCTCTGGTTAGTCGTCTTCCTCTGTTGCCACCACACCTGGTTGTTGGTCCCCATTCATCACCAACTGCTTGTTCTACTGCTTTTGACAACATCCAGGATCATAAGTTGTTCCACAGTCTGATCCGATTAAATTCAGTTGATTGCATCGGTAGTCTTTGAGTCAAGGCTTTTTGAGCTGTGACAATGCGGGGATTCTCTTCTCAGCTGTTAAGTTCCTGGCTTGTTTTGTTAAACGTCTAGCTCATCTAAGGTTTGGCTTGTTGCTGTTAAGTCACTAACAGCCTCTTCTTAATTGCTTACTACAAAATCTCTGTGGTCTTGGAGACTATCCTTGGGTTTGAGCTTCTCTGCACTCTGTTCCAAATAAACTAACCTTTTGGGGAAAAGCTGTCGTGCCCTGCATTCATGTGGCCTGACTCCCTTCCCAGGAAACCCTTCTGTACCACTGCCCTGGGTGGGGGCAGGAAGAGCAGCCAAATTCTTCTGTAGCAGGCATCCTCAAACTACGGCCCGTGGGCCACATGCAGGCCATTGAGGACATTTATCCGGCCCACCAGGTGTTTTTGCCATGACTGCCTGTCCTGCTTAGCCAACTCGTTCCCGGCCCACAGTGCACGTGTGGAATGTGCGCCGCACTCTCCAACGGCCCTCCAGCGGTCTGAGGGACAGTGAACTGGCCCCCTGTTTAAAAAGTTTGAGGACCCCTGAACTGGAGTAACAGACCTGCTTTATAAACAAGTCGTTGGATGAGGGGAGCAGCACTGATGTTCTCCACTTACAGATCCAGGCTGAGAAGAGGAAGGGAGGAAGGGAGGCCCAGACATCTCAGTCACCAGGGCCTGGAATAGAACATCTGCAACATGGATCTGGGATAGTGGGGAATGTGAAATGCTGGTAGTTTGCCCCATCTGGAGGTACAATGTAGCTCTCACAACTGGATGCAGCAAGCTTCAAGAGTCCTGTGTTCTTATCTGCAACCACCTCCCTGAGTAGAGTTTCCATCAGGATGAATTAATAGTGGAAGGAGCAAGTCATGGCTCCAGTGCCACCAACTCTAATGCTTCCAAAAGAAATTTAGTAAATTTGTTTAAATAAATGTATAAATGTACACTGCTAAGAAAATTTCCGGAGTTTCCTTAAACCAGACTTTAAGTGGTTGAGCTTTGGATGTAATTTCTTTACAATGTATGGTTATTTGATTTGGGATAGAGTCTATGTAGGTCTTCATGCCACCATTCCAAAAGTATCTGTCTTCAAGTTGAATTGAATTACCTTTCAGCATCAGAATGCTGTTGTTATTTTGACAACAGATATATTTATGTTCCCAGTATTGGAGTTTAGAGGGTTTTTTATAATAATGAGAAGAAAAGAATTTACTCATTTCCAAATGTCATGCTGAAGATACTGTACGAATTTCTTTAAACATATATATATATATATATATTTTTTTTTTTTTAAAGTGAAAATGCTGGGCAATGAAAGGGCTATTTTTAAGGCTAGAAGATAGGGCCTTCATGAAAAGTGAGACATTTTATTTAGTTTTAAATGTTTTCTAATGCTATTATAAGCCCGTAAAAATCATATGCTCAGCCCATTTCACTTTAAAGTTCTCAGTAATACATCGTGATTGTAATATTAACACGTGGCGGGTTGTTTCTTGTTTGCTTGTTTGTTGTTTTCACTCTCTCCAACACACAGAAAAGAGGAAAACCAGCCTTCTGGACCAGCTGACCAACACCAGCGGGACGGTGATCGGCGTGACGTCCTGCATCGTGATCATCCTGATCATCATTTCTGTCATCGTGCAGATCAAACAGCCTCGTAAAAAGTACGTCCAGAGGAAATCAGACTTCGACCAGACGGTTTTCCAGGAGGTGTTTGAGCCTCCTCATTACGAGCTATGTACTCTCAGAGGGACAGGAGCGACAGCTGACTTTGTGGACGTGGCAGATGACCTTGAAAACTACCATAAACTGCGGAGGTCATCTTCCAAATGCATTCACGACCACCACTGTGGATCCCAACTGTCCAGCACTAAAGGCAGCCGCAGTAACCTCAGCACAAGAGATGCTTCTATCTTGACCGAGATGCCCGCACAGCCCATCAAACCCCTCATCCCGCCCATGAACAGAAGGAACATCCTCGTCATGAAACACAACTACTCACAGGATGCTGCAGATGCCTGTGACATAGACGAAATCGAGGAGGTGCCGACTACCAGTCACAGGCTGTCCAGACACGATAAAGCCGTCCAGCGGTCAGTATCAATAGATTTTTTGATGACAACTATAACCTGAGGACCGTAATACTTCCAGAGTGTTGTCTTCTATTTTGTTCTTCATATTTCAGTTTCCCCTTGATTAATGATTTAAGCCATAGTGTCTCAACTATTTTCTTCTTTTTCTTTTTCGGTGTTATCCATACACTTAATAATAAGTCCCATCCATGTGCATGGTATGTATATGTGTGGGAACACACATGCACACACAGACCAAAGATATTTCATTCGTTTCTAAACATATACAAATATCTATTTCTACAAAAATTATCGATTTTAATTTATAATACAGATTTATGTTGATAATTTGATTCCACGTGGTCATTAATGTTGGTCTCATCAATATTTATATATTTTAAGATATGAAATGATATTTGGAAACAATTGCCTTACCAAGATGGCTCGCCCATCTTGCTGAATAATTTTAATCCCCAAATAACATATTTTTCAATATAATATATTTATTTTTGGTATGAAAATGAAAATACTTTTATTTCACGTATCACATAATACTTATATTACAAATTACATATGATAGCATGATATATTAAACATATATATTTAAATATAGCAAGAATTATTATAAACATTTGATTTATTTCCTTTTAATACAAATAGAGTATTATCTGTGTTATATTATTAGTCCTAAAATCAGTGAAAGTTTTCAGGAAAAAAATTAAAGTAATTATTTTAAACTCCAAAATCCAGTCTGCTTATACTTTGTTTTGCATGTTTATTAGCCTATAGTTTATTGTATAAATTGACCTGCTTTATCCATTCATCATACACTCTCAAAAACTGAAATATTTTAGTTAATTTGATACATTTTGCATGCTGATGAAAGAAACATCTATTTCCACAGTTTTATGAATTTTAGGAATGCTCTTAGTAAATATTTGTGTGGATATATTTATTTTTGTGCAAATATTACTTTGTTGAATGAAATAGCCATAACATTCCAGGTTCTGCCTCATTGGGTCTCTAAGCAAACATGAATCTGAATACAACACAACTAGGGTCTAAAAAGAAAATTCAAGGTAAGCAAATGCCCTTGGTTCCTTCTCCCACTTTGTTGTATTCTGTTTTGTTTTGTTTTGTTGCAATTGTCTTGTAGTTTTTTAGGGAATGTGCTATTTATTCATTATTTCTTGAGATATGTGTTTCATGACATTTCATGATTAGAAGTATAATGAATATTTTATTCATTGCTAATGGAGGGTTGATTCTCAGGATATATGTCTTTAAAATAAATGTTAATTTCTTACCATCAAGCATTGTACCAAAATGTTATTAAAAAGAACATCAAATTAGTAAGCTAAATTTTACATGTTTTAAGGAAAAGATAATACAATCATGAATTTTCTTCAAAGAAATACCAGAAGAAACCCAAGTTTTTTGAAATAAAAAAAATTAGAATATTCAGTCTCAATACAGCTGAAGTAAATATATAGAACTGGTAATTATTTTATATAATTTGGCAACAGTCAACTCAAAATTCATACACTAAGTATTTGGTGGTACTCATATATTTTATGCACTCTTATTTTTGCATGGATATGTAATTTATCTCATCAAAATTAAATGCAGCATGTTATGTCAAATTTTATAAGATAAAATTTGAATGCTTGATAATGTACAAGGTTCCATTAATACAAGTTGTCTACGTGTACATCTATTTTGTTATCAGATATCATAATGGCTTTACTTACTGCACTTGATAGTCTATATCTATACTAGCCTAATGTGTCTCCAATTAAATTTGCTTGACAGTTATTTCTTCAAAACTCTTCAAGCCTATCAACTATTCTTGAATTAGGTGAATGCATTTCCATACTCTATATTACCGTAATAAATTGGTGTATTTGTATGCATTTTTCATTGGGAGAAAATGTTTTAACTGTGTTTTATTTTCAGAGAAGAACTATTTATACAAACATGGGGACTATGAAAAGAAAATTCTATAGCGAATTGTGAAAAGTGGACATATTTCTAAATTCATTCCACTGCCTTTATCCAAACATAAGAATTACAGACATTTGTTATTCCTTCGGCAAGACATCCCCGCTGCACAATGATATGTTCATTTCGTAATTTGGTTGCTGGCCACCAAGTGCTCCTTAGTTTTTAAATACATTTTAAGATTTACTGGAAACTTGAAGAAGAAATTAGTTCCTGATTAAGACTACCCCAACTTTATTTTTGCTGTCAGTTTCACTTTTGTTTCTATGTTGTTTTATGTCTTTGTTATATAATTTTACATTGTGTGATATGTGAAAAAAAAAAAAAACATGAATTTGGATGAACCTTGTGTTACATGTACATTGTTTTCATTAGATAGACTGCTTGAGAATAGTGCGTTCCTGAGTGATTTTGAACATGCTACAGTGAAAAGTGAAAATGTGGACCATGGAAACACCAGCTAGAGGTCTATGGACTATACACACCTATTGTTATATGATGGTTAAATGCAGCAAAAAGTAATGAGTAAAATTACTAGATTGCAATAAGAAAAAAAAATCTCATTTTTGGCCTCTCCTATATACCCCTGATTTCCTTTTTGTTTTATATCAAAAGAAAATACTGAGTTTCAGAAATAGTTTTTGAAATAAGGTATTTTGCCGTTCATACCCTACAATAGAAATGTTTTTGATTAAGCACTTAGCAATATGACTGTATTGACAGTTTGAAAAAATACCCTGCATGTCAGTACTGGATATTTGAGTTGGGAAAATATCCTTTTTGTTAGACACATTGTAAAAAGCATGCATTCTCAAATATTGCTGTTACTGTTCCATTTCTTTTGGTCATATGCTTGCTACTTGTAACTTTTTATATAAAGATATATAAAATGTATAATAATTTCCTAAATTGAGTTAAGAGAAATGTTTTCTTCTATTAGAGTGATAAAAAAAAAAACTGACTCTTATAGGTACACATTTTATATCAATCTTCCCACCTTTCAGGATATAGGATCTTCGTTAGTATTGAAGTTTACTTCTCCAAATATTTGACTTCTAAAAGTTTAGGGAATATGTTCTCCTTTTAGAATAGGAAGGTCTTTTTTTTAGATGCTTTAAAATCACAGGCTCTTTTATGACCTAAATTACATCATTCTCCATTATTCTTATACTCAGGCACGAATATGACACCGGAGGGTTAGTGATTATGATGTATTTCACATGAATAAAGTAAAATCCTAAAATGTATTTAATTTGTGTTGAATTGTATACACACTCTATAAAGTTTGATTTAGTGAGTGGGTACTTTAAAAATATTGTATATATAATCGTTAAAAAAATGAAAAATCAGAATTACTATAAATCTGCTTACCAACGTTTTCAAAACTACTGAATTCTACAGGCTAAAAGAATTCTGTTCTTCAACTAGCATAGCAATCTGGTCTACCACAATTCAGACCTTGCAACTCAAGCAGGCTTTACAAACCAAACAGATAAATTACTGTTTTACATCTCTGTCAGGAATTCAGTTTCTTACATTAAAAAACAAGTAAATGAAAAATAAAATAAATTTTTTATAATGGAGAAATCAAAAAATTATCAAAACCTTGAATACTCTATATTGAAAAAATGTCAACCTACACAAATAATCACTTCCAATGAATTTGATAAAGTGGGGAACTGAAAAAATGTATGAAACATGATGAATACTAATTATTTTTTAATGTCATGTTACACATCTTTATACACATTGCTTATGATAAAATGTACCCTTTTTATTTGGCTTGACTAATTTATTTATTACCATGCTTACTTTTATGCCCTTTAATTCAGAGTTAATGCTCCAAAGATTATTTTTTAAGTGATTAGTCATATTTTATATTGCTTTCACTATTTAGATATCTTCATAGGACTCCTTTCACTTTGAATGATAATCTCAAAAAGTATGGTATATATGCCAAGACTTTTTATTTATAACAGCAATAAAGATAGGAAAATAAATTAGGTGACCATTTCACCATTCACTTGTCCTGTAGCTGCCCACAGACTTTCCATCCCCTCCAATTCCTCCTAAACATACAGATGATCCTATGCTTAAAAGATATTTATACCAGAAATGCACTAATGGAGACTTTAATAAAAACCCCACCAAACTAAACTAAGTAAAATAATAAGAATGAGTAGCCCACATGCATTTAATACGCAGCATCTTCATGGGAAAATGAAAACATTTCAAATGAAGAATAGACCTCCTCAGTGGTAATACTAGAATTATTTAGCAACATGTAGGCACTGACTCATCAGAAAAGAAGATAGTGAGGATGTCGAGACAATGTCCGGGAGTCATGCTATTTTCCGGCAGCAGCTCTGGATGCTGGATCTTGGGAGTGCGGGCTTCAGCAGAGCTGGGAGATGTTCTCTCCAGAGCCCTGGAGGTTCCTATTTTAAAAACAGCATTGAAATTTATCAATATATTAAAAACTTCTATTTAATGGCTACATCAGATCTTATCACCTGAATTCAACCTTTGGCCAACATTCGAAAGAGGGTGACATATGTAGATAAGGAATGAGATGTTTCAAGATGTGTAAGTCAAGTTATTTTAATAAATATTTTGTATTTTTTTATAAAGTGAATTCAAATATTAACACAAGTACTTTATTAATTCAGTAAGTTGGTTTTAAATAATGTATTGAGTTTAGTCTATTATGTTAATTTGATAAAGTTATTTTTTAAATTTTATTTTTCTGTGTTTGAATTCGCTTTTCAAAATCAGTGGCATATCATAATTTACAAGCATCACCTGTGAAGCGCTGAGTTAAGATTTGTATACTTCTGTCCAAGTGCACTTTAGTTGCCTACTTCAAAGTGTTCTGATTTGGAAATCTGATTTTTGGTACCTGTTTTAATACACATGCCAATTTTATGTATCACATTGCAAAATAGACACATGTGATGTTTGATTTGCCATAATTAGCCTTGATTTGTTAGATAATTAAAGTGGCTATAAATATAATTTGAGATTAATATCATTGGGCTATTAAGGAAGAAAAACCCACATTGTGGAGTTGCTGACTTTTCTGTTTCACATTACTTTTTTTCTACTAAAAATATTCCAATGAGTCTAATTCACTCCATCAGCTATGATTCTCAGTGGTTAATATATTTAGGTCTTTGGCATTACTTGACTATTCATGCAAGGTACTGCATCAACTTTTTCCATATTTTTCCCTTAGGAATTTAATTTGGATTTTCCTCAAGTTTTATAGCCTTTATTTTTTTTTTTTAAAAAAATCCAAATCCATGAATGGGTTTTCGTTAACCTCAGTATATCATAATAAATTAGAAAATGTGATCCTGCTTCCCATTACCTTTATTAACTTGATGACAAATAATTTATTGAGGTGTTGGCGGTGAAATAAATAATACCATCTTATCATGAAGTTTGTATATTTCAGTGATGAAAATGAGACGTGTCAGATTCCAACTCTGGAGGGAGATTATATAAATAAAACCTTTAAAATTCTCTGAACTCCAGATGCATATGATTTGAAAAGTGGGTTTTGGTTTTGTCTAACTATACTGAAGTGAGTTAGCTTCTGTGCTATTTATCTCTGTGGACCTTTTCCTCCATTGGCTCATTTCTGTCCGTCACAGTCTGGCACGAAAGATCCAGCCAAAAAATTGTGAAATAGATGAAAAATAAAAGAAACAGACGAGTTAATTATTATTCTCTTATCCATTTGATTAGTATTTCCCATGCTCCTCTTAAATGTTGAATAAAGTAGCAAAATAAAAAGTCTGTTAAAATAGAGATATGCTTTTATAAATAATCCTGTTCAATAAATCCAGTGCCCTTTGTTAATTTAGAAATATCCTGATTCATTTCATTAATGAATTTGCTTAAATCATACTACAAATTTCTCTTAGTTATATCATCGAAATGAATCAAACAGGGTAATAAAAATAACAGATACAGGTGACTGATGTCAGACATTCATAACAATTCATTATTTTCCTCGTAGCCTCTGGTTCTGTACTCCCTTGTGTGTGTTAAAGAGGTAAATGCTTTCTTAACATGCCTCTAGTTCCTCAGAGGTAGGAAACAAAACTCAGCCTGCTTCAGGCTTTTGTCATTTTCTTGAGTTGGTTTCCACAAAGTCCATATTCCCAAGCTAGTATGATCATATAATTAAACTGCCCCTCTATATCCATAATAATTGTGCAGCCAATGTGTTCTTTGTCCCGACTTCTACTATCTTTCCAACCTCTGAGGCATGCTATTTTACAGTGTTTCATTTTTGAAAAGTTGATTTTTGTGCCCTCTCTCAGTGGTCACAGGTACTGACAGAAAGCTTAAAAGTGAACAGAAAGCACAGTGTATAAATTATTTAAAATAAAACATTCCTTTTATATCACATTATAAAATGTGTACTGTTTATTCACTCTCCCATTAATTAAATTCGATGTCAATAGAGCCAGCCTTTTCGAGCCTCTACAATCTATATGCCTAGCGTCTTCCTGAGTACTTAGGAGAGGAAAATGAAGAAGATGATCTAGTAGAGAACATAATTATGGAGTCTTATAGAAGGAAGAGTTCTCAGAGGAGCTGTGTAAGGAAAATTAAGCCCAAAATTATCTGCCGTGTTGATCATCTTGAAAAGCTGATTACACGTCCCCGTTTAACTCCTCCATCCTTTCCTGTGGAAGATAAAACTTCTTCAGCTGTCAAGAGAATACCATAAAAGTGATGTTTTATAATCAAGAAGTTAGTAGCAGATAAAGATATCTTCTTAAGAGGATCAAGAGAGGCATTGTAAATAGTTGACCCTATAAGCAGCTCTTAAAGGATGGAGACCATTGTCAAAAGGGACTGCAGGGAGAAACTTTCACCTAGAGTAATTAGAGCAGGTGTGGTCTTAGAAGATCATTTGTTTGAACTGGCTGGAGCATAGACAGGAAAATAATGGCAAATATAGTTGGAGTTTACGTCATGATTTCTGAATGCATGTAATACCATCCAAAGCAGTATGCATTTTATTTAAGGGAGAATATTTTAATGTCTGTTACCAAAGTGTGGCTTAAGAGTGGTACGTTAAGTAAAATCCTCTGAGAGGAATATGTTTGCTAAATTGAGTGAGTGGCAGTAAGTAGAGAAAATCAAAACAGTTTAGAAACAAGACACTTAAAAAGTAACTAGTGGGTTGTTAGATATCTAGGAATATTTGTCTGGATTTTCAACTTATTTTCTACTATATATTATTGTTCCAAGGTTATGATTGACTTGTGAACATACTGTGTGTCACATGCCAAACACTATTCTCAGTGTTTCACATGTAATCTTTTCCCTGATCTTCTTAGCAATTTTATGAATAATATTTGTTGTTATCAGTTGTACAGACGAGGAAACTAAAGAGAGTTTTAGTAGATTTTCTAAGATTGTACTTAAAGAATGATGAACACAGCTTTGAAATTAAGCTAACCACAGAGTCAACCAATGATCTTTAACCATTGTGCAATACAACCCTATGAATATTCTACAGAGTCCGTGTCACTGAAAAAAGTTGATATCTATCCATATGAACCCCAGTTTTGTGTTTCCTCATCTGCAAAAATATGTATTATAGTACCTTCTCTCCACCTTACCGAGTGTGAAGATCAAAATGACTATACATTGGAAGATATTTTTTTTATACCCTATAATGCATTATACAAAATAAATCATTTTTCCAAAGTCGTGTGTAAACTTCATTTCGTAACCAACACGGAACAAATGTGTCATCTATAAAGAGCAGCAGTGAAGAAAAACTCCCAGCTTCTCTTGCCCTCAGTAAAATACATGACTTTCAGAACCCACTGATCCCCACTTCATCTGAATGATGTCTCCTCCAATGTTTATTTTATTGCGTCATCTTATTGAAGTGCTATTCATCATTCATGAACAACAGTGAGCGCTGGAGCTCCTAAGTGACCCCAAAAGCTCTCATCATCAAGTATGCACAGAAAAGCAAATCCTGTTTTTCAATCACAGATAATTGTTTGGCACAAATTCACATAATGGCATGTGAATAAGCAAGCAAATGGACATTCATGTAGGTAAGTGCGGGTGTATAACCAAAATTATCATACACAAATGTGGTGTCCTGTAGTGAAAATAGATTTTCAAAAGGTCGAACTCAAACTCTAGTTTCATTTCATGCCACTTATGCGCTCTTTAAAAAGTTCTTTGAATCCTCCGAGTTTCCACTCTTTGTAAAATAGATAAAGCTATACCTAACGATAAAAGGAGTCTGTGAGAACTGGAGACGATATGCATAAAAACACCGCATGAGATCAGTGATACCACAGTGAAGGCAGTAGTATTTACACTGGTGTTTTGCATTATAGAATGGGGAAAAAAATGTCCCTTGTGTGTTATACTTTTTATGTATCTGTGGATACAGGCATTCCTGGCAAAAACAAATGTTCCATCTCTGTGAGCCTGGTAGCTTTCAGCAAATCAGGAAAAGACCTCACCTTTAAAAGTCACAGATCAGCCAATCATCAATTTCTAAGGGATTATTAAGACAGAGGACCAGATGGAAGAAACATAAGCATTAGTAAGGTGGGAAGAAACAAGGATCAGATATTGTCTGTTAGCTCTTAATATGCCACCATATAAATGGCGATAATCTACCAGAAGATAATCTACCATAATCTACCAACACATATATGCTAGTAATAATGTGGATATGAGAACTGCTAATTTATAGAATATATGTTTGAATACAGACATCAGGACTGACCAATCTGGATATCCTTCAAAATAACTAAGGACATTATACATAAGTAATAGTCAATATGTGCTGTGAAGTGAACAAATAAATGAAAAAAATACATGTACATAAATAAGTTTCTTTATTTGTCACAGAAGCTACATCCAAACACACCCAGATTATATTTATTAGTGATATTACTTTGTATATGAATTTAACCTTTATCTAAACTGATCTATTCTTCCATTTATAGCCCTATCTTATTGGTGGAAACATCCATAGTTTTCTTGGCTGAGAGAGAATACAATGGCAAGGAGGAAATACAAATATTATCCAAGGCATAGTAGCCATTTGTAAACAATTGTCATTACAAAGAAGTTTGATACTTCTATATGTCTTAATAAGAGACAGATTCCACAGTTGCAATAATTTCAGATACCTATTTATTTATTTATTTTTATTATTTTTTTGAAACAGAGTCTTGCTCTGTTGCCTGGAGTAGAGTGCCCTGGCGTGGCATCAGCCTAGCTCACAGCAACCTCAAACTCCTGGACTCAAGCAATCCTATGGCCTCAGCCTGCCAAATAGCTGGGACTAAAAGCATGCACCACCATGCTCAGCTAATTTTTTGTATTATTTTTAGTCGTCCAGCTAATTTGTTTCTTTCTTTCTTTTTTTTTTTTTTTTTTTAGTAGAGACCTGGGTCTCACTTCTTGCTCAGGCTGGTCTTGAACTCCTGAGCTCAAATGATCCACCTGCCTCGGCCTCCCAGAGTGCTAGGATTACAGGTGTGAGCCACAGCACTGGACCCCAGATGCCTTTTTAAACTCTTCTATTACCCACACTTATATTTAAGGTATATTTTTGTTTATATGGTTTGCCATAAGTGAGGAAAATTGATGGCATTTTTCTGGGGATTATTTAGCCAAAATTTAAATATAAAGTTAGAAGAAAATTTTTGAAATGATACAGAAAAATTTGTAATTTTAGTTGGTATTCACATTTGGAATAATTTGGGTTTCATTTCCTTTCATAAATAAATACATTTAAAGTCCCCATACACAGACACACACCTATATTTTCAGTCTTTCTTATGTATCTATTTTTAGATAACTGCACCTGAAAAGTCAAGGATTAAATCAGTAACAATTAACTTAGAAAAACAGGGAAGGGATCCACTTAAGAAAATTAACTGGTATTCTCTTATTATATTAAACTATAAACCACAGAATATGCATTTTCTAAAATATTACCATCTAAAATTATGTCCTAATTTATTTTCATTTTTATAGTATTTTTCAGTTATATAACAATAACATTTTTGGCTCTCAAACAGAATGTGGTTAGTTACTGTTCATCTAGTTGGAGAAAAATAGAGTCATTATTATTGTTCTAATTATGTGTCATCATTATATATAATTGCTAAAAATCAAATTCAACGAGGTATAGTGGCTCACACCTATAATCCCAGCACTTTGGGAGGCAAAGGCAGGAGGATCTCATGAGCCCAAGAGTCTGAGGCTACAGTGAACTATGATCACACCACTGCACTACAGCCTGGGAGACAGAGCAAGATCTGGTCTCTTAAAAAAGAAATTTAAATTCATAATATGAATTGCATAACAGAGAGTGTACAACAATTGTTTTATTTATTGATTTAAATATGGAAAATGAGCTTTACCACTTATAGTTTTTTTCCCTTCTTATCAACATTGTTACACTATGCATTTAATAATTGTACATTAATACTACTCAGCCACGAAGAAGGATAAATTGTGTTCTTTTGCAACAATCTGGATGGAACTGGGGAGCATTATCCTAAGTGAAGTATCTAAAGAATGGGAAAGCAAATACCCAATGTGCTCGCTATTAAACTGGAGCTAACCGATGAGCACACATGTGCACAGAGGGAAGTAAAACTTGGTGGAAATCAAGCAGGGGGAAGAGAGACAAGGGGATGAGTAAAAACCTATCAAATGAGTAAAATGAACACTGTGGGTGATGGGCACACTTATAATCCTGACTCACCCATAACAAAATTGATACATGTAACCAAAAATATTTGCACCCCTGTAATATTTTTAAATAAAAAATAATTTTACAGTTATATTTTCTTAAAATATCTGCAGTTTTGGATGTTACATCACCTACAGTGTTATTCTCAATTCCAAATTAATATTATGGTATAATCACTATTTTTATTTATAATGTGGTCCAGATAATTTCTTAGCCAATAAGCTGTTCAAATAATGGATAAATGATCACTATAGCAAAAAAGTTTCTGAGAACCCTAGTAAGCAGCTTTTATAGCCATTGCATAATATCTTGTTCATTATATTGTCGAGACAGATAGCTCTGATTGGTGGTATGCGAACTCCACAATCCCAGGGAATTATAACAAAAAATAGGAAATTGCTATTTTGAAAACCATCTCTTTCATTTTCACTCAAAATGAGAAAAATCTATACATATTTTATTCTCTATTACCCTGATAATCTAGTTTTAACTAATTTCCCATTCGCTTTTGTTTATTCATCATTTATTATTTAAAAATGAATAAATAATATTTTAAGAAACCATATCTGAAATATTATGAACTTATTTAACCTATAAACCTAGTACTCTGTATTCTATTACTTCCATGAATCTATTTTTATAAATATCACTGAAAATGGCATCTAAATAATTAGAAAGAGGGGAGAGGAAGTTCGGGATGTTCCCAATTATTAATTAAAATCAAAATGATTTTGA